GCACCGCCGGGCAGTCCCCACTCGCACCGCGCCCCCCGCTGGGTAGACAAACCCACGCCTGATGAAAGATTGCGAGAGTGCTGCAGGGGCCCCCCCTGAAGGCTGGCAAGCTGGCAGATCAGAAGCGGAACTTCATGACTCCATGGGCGTTGCTCCTCCAGGGGGGGCGGCCTGAGACTGTATCTGGGCGATCCTGTCCGCGCGCTGGCGAAGGCCTGCTGCAGAGGCGGCGCCGACAGCGTCCGCAGCAGCCGCGGCGGCGCCAGGTGCCGCCGCGGCGGGCCCGCTGGCCGCGGCTGCAGCAGCGGACGCGCTGGCTGCAGGGGCAGCACCTCCATCGCCTCCAGCAGGTGCTGCGTTGCCCTTGCCAGGGCCGACGACAGGACCCGAAGCGGCAGGGACCGTGACAGCAGCACCAGCGTTAGTCTTCCGCTTCTTCTCGTTCTCGTCTTTGAGGCGCTGCAGGTGGGCTTGGTGTTCCACCTTGATGGCCTCCACCTTGGACTTCGACTCTTTGAACAGGTTGGCGGCCATGGCGGTGATGCCCTCGCGAAGCTGCGTCGCCCTGCTCTGCAGCTCCTGCTTGTCCGACTCGCTAAGCTCGAACTCCAGCTCGCCCATATGGAAGAGCGACTCTGCAGACAAGTCCAGCCAAGCCTCCAACTTGGTGTCGTCCAGCATGTCGTCGATGGTGAGCTTGGCCCTCTCAGCGGACGGCCCGTCGACGTATTCCGAGTGCAGGCGGTGGAAGAGGGCGCTGTGCTGCTTCTCGGCGGCCGCCAGCTCCTCACGCAAGGATAGCACATGGGACTTCTGAGCCTCCAACTGCTCCTCGATCGACTCGAACTTGAGGACGGCCGCCTCCAGCTTCTTCTCGACCGAGCGAGCGTGACCATGCGCACGAGAGAGCTGGACCTGAAGGGGCTCGTGATGCTGAGGGCGGGGCGCCAGAGCCTGAGCCGCAACGCGAGCCCTCTTAACCCCTTCCAAGTCACCGAGCTTCTCGCAGAAAGTGGCCATCTGCTGGTACTCTTCCATGGACAGCTTGGGCTCCGACAAAGGGGTCTGGCCAGCAGGTTTGCCTCCCTAGGCAACTGGGTCGACGTAGCCGAAACTGTGGCCCTTGCCTCCCTTGATGTCCCCAGGAGGCTGCGCCAGACTCTTGCCGTAGCCGCCCTGCCAGACTGAGTTGGGCGGCAACCTCGTGGAGCCGCAGTGCTTGCACCAGGTGAAGTAGCTGGCGTTGCGCTTGCAGCCGCAGACCTCGCATGTCCAGCGTCCCCTGCCAGCAGCCGAAGGAGGAGCAGGCAGCTGAGGACCTGGAACGAGCGGAGGCCACTGTACGAGGTTGGCACGGTCCTGGGCCCACGGCTTGCCTTTGGCGCCGCCGTCAACATGCCCAGGCGAACCCTTACATCCTTTCGACATGGCGGAAGCAAAGCCGTGTCGCGCAACTGAAATGGAGTGCCCACGCTGGTGTGGCCAGCTGGGCGAAGACAAAGAGCCAATTTGGCCCGCAACAGCACTGGCCGTTTCGAAGGAGTAATAATAATAAGAATAATAATACTAAGAAAAAGAAGACTAATACTAATAATAAGAAGAATAAGAAGAGGAGGAGGAGGAGGAGGAGGAGGAGGAGGAGGAGAGGAGGAGGAGGAGGAGAGGGAGAGGAGGATGAGGAGAGGAGGAGGAGGAGGAGGAGGAGGAGGAGGAGGAGAGGAGGAGGAGGGAGGGGCAGGAGGAGGAGGAGGAGGAGGTTTTTTTTTTTTTTTTAGGAGGAGGGGGATGGGGGAGGGGGGATGGGGGAGGGGGAGGAGAAGGAGGAGGGGGAGGTGGAGGGGCGAGGGGGAGGAGGCGGAGGGGGAGGGGGAGGGGGAGGAGGAGGAGGAGAAGGAGTCAGGAGGAGGAGGAGGAGTGAGGAGCGAGGAGGAGGAGGGGAGGAAAAGGAAAGTGGTGGAGGAGGAGGAAGAGGGGAGCAGGAGGGGAGGAGGCGTTGGGACAGTGAGCAGGAGGGGAAATAGCAGAGTGGGATCAGGAGGGAGAAGAGGGGGGGAGGAGAGGGGGAGCAGGAAAAGTAGGAGGAGAGGGCGAGGTTGGGAACGGAGGAGGATGGGCGTCTAGGAAAGGGGGAAGGGGGCGAGGAGGAGGAGGTGGCGTAGGTGAAGGGGCAGAGGAGGAGGAGGAGGGGAGGAGGAGGAGGAGGAAGAGGAGGAGGAGGAGGAGGACGACGAGCCCGAGCTCCGCCAAGAAGCACCCTGCCTCCTTAGAATGGCCCCCCTGGCGGCAGCCGCTTGCTGCACTTCTGTCTCCTCAGGGGCGCCCTCCGCTTCGCGGCGACGGCCCGCGGTGCACCTCGGCTGCTCCGCAGCCAGCCGGCTTTCCGGCTACGCCCCAGACCTTTGCCCTTCGGCATCTCCTGCGCCGTTCTGCTGAGCCTGGCCTCCAGCGGTCCAGCACCGCTTGGCGACCTACTTCGTCTGAGAGTTCTCTGGCCGTTCCGCGGCCGCTTCCCCCTCTCTTCTTGCCCTTCCTTGGCTCCCGCAGCGATGGGCCACGGGCTCGTCCGACCGCTGGCCCGACCGCCTGTGGGACCCAGCTCGCCGCAGACCAAAACGTATGGCGCACTCCAGAAAAGGGTCTGTTCCTCCTCCTCATCCTCCTCCTCCTCGCTCCTCCCTCCTCCTCCTCCTCCCTCCTCCTCCCTCCTCCTCCTCCTCCTCCTCGCTCCTCCCTCCTCCTCCTCCTCCCTCCTCCTCCAGAAAAGGGGTTGACATCTGTTCCTCGGCGGAAGGGTGCCGGAAGTGAAACGAGGCTTCTTCTGCCGGCGCCCCCAAGAAATGCCAATTTTTTTTTGGGTTCGGGGGGCCCGGAACCAGCCATCTGTGCATATACACGTACATACAGATATCGGACGGGGCTAGGACGAGGATACTTTTTCCAGAGTGTTCCGGAACGCTCTTAGAGCGTCCTGGAACGCTTTTACAGGCCGCGGCGCCTGGGATATCTTCCAGAGCCGCCAGACCTCAGAGACTCTTGGTTTATCATTGCCCGAACTTGTCCTCGTCGTGGTTTCGTCTTAATAGAGGTGCGCATGGCCCTGAACAGCAGAAAACAGCATGAACATCGTTTCTCGGAGCGCGGAGCGCGCCGGAGGCGGCGCTGGATGTGCCGTTGGGGGGGTCCAGCGTCGATCCAAGAAATCCTCGCGGACCTCCGAATCATCATTTTCACGCAGTTTATTTGTTCCTCTTGGGGCATATCAGCAGGAGTGGCTCGAGCATTCTCACATAGTGCACATGCATATTCCTGCGGTTGTGAGGGGCTTGCTGGACGTTCCGGGGAGGCCCTCCGTAGGCCTCCGCCTCCGCGGACCCCTGGAGGCCTTTGGAGACCTGCAGAGACCGCAAGAGAACTTGGATCGGATGCCTGGCGCCACGAAGGACAACTTGCCTTGTGGAGGACGATCAGTTGAGAGGGAGCATGTTGCCAAATAGTGTCTTGATGTCCAAAAACATGTAAAAAACATGTTGAACACATGTTTAGAACGTGTTTCGATATGTTCAATACATGTTTTAATTCCCTACCTAGGCTCTGCCTAGAAGGGTTCTTACTCGGTATGCTTAAAGGGCCGGGCAGTGGTCCCCGCCCCGGGCGGTTCCCCCAGCATCCGTTCCGCGATTCCCCCAGTTACGTCCCCTTAGCATGGCGTTGCTTATCTCATATTAGCTTAGTTTATTTCATCTTAGCTTAGCTTAGCTTCATCTTAGTTCAGGTGTATCTTAGCTTAGCTTAACTTCATCTTAGCTTCGCTGAGCTTTAGCATAGCAGAGCACATCATAGCATAGCATAGCGTAGCATAGCATAGCGCAGCACAGCATATCATAGCATAGCCCAGCACAGCATAGCACAGCGCAGCAGAGCATAGCATAGCACAGCATAACATAGCGCAGCACAGCACAGCACAGCATAGCACAGCGCAGCATAGCATAGCATAGCATAGCATAGCAGAGCATAGCAGAGCAGAGCATAGCATAGCATAGCATAGCATAGCATCGCATAGCATAGCGCAGCATAGCATAGCATAGCATAGCATAGCATAGCGCAGCATATCATGGCATACCACAGCATAGCATATCAACTAATGCTGCTTTCCTAGGGGCTCCAACTTCTAGGTAGGGTCGCACTGGGGTAATTCAATGATCGGACTGTTAGGCTGTCCATTGTTGTGGCATGCACAATGCCATGCTCGACGTCCAGGGGGCCGCTTTCTCTCCTCGCGGGATGGCCTGGGCAAGGGGAGGGTGACTCGAAGAGGCAGCGTCGTCTGAGGCCCGGGTGCGTCTCCTCGGAGTCAGGTCTGAAGCAGCGGCAACTACTTCCCAGGGATCTTCGGAAAGGCGACCTCACCACACCGAGCACCGCAGGCATCCTTTTGCAGATGCCGCGGCGACTCGCCCAGGGTTGCAGCTCGCAGGCTGGACGGTTCGAACTGTCAGCGATTGCGCGCAGCACAGTGCGCCATGACAGTCTTGCTCTTCCGTGGGGCCTTCTCAGAAGCCCCGCCGCCTTCCGAGAAGGCCTTCTCCTTCTCACTTCCCCCCCCCGCGCTCGCCGCCAACCATCAAGGGAGGAAAGCCACCCGGACTGGACAATTGGCGCTTACCGAATGGTCCTGGGCGTTTGCTAAACAGCCCTGCCCTGTTTGATTCCTGCTTTGGGGGCGCTTACTAAACGACTTCGCGTGTCGGGGTGGTTATTACGGGGGTGTTTTTTCGGGCCGGGCGAAAGGGGGGGATTGGGAAAGGGGGGGGTTACGAAATTGCTGCATGCAGCTGGGTTGCGGCCTCGGCGAGGGGCCATTCCACGATACATGGCGCCTCCTGGCGCCGGGAGGCGCCGGGAAAATCAGCTACGTGAGCTGATTCTCAAACCCCCCCTTTGCTATCCCCCCCTTTCGCCCGACCCGATTTTTGACTTCTAAACCAACCCGCACCGTGCAGGCAAGACGCGATGGCCATCATGGCGCACGGCCTGCAGAAGGTCAAGGCCAAGAGCAGGCACGACGCGACCGCGCTGGTCCTGGCCCCCGAGAGGTGCCCGCGGCCGCTGTCCTCGTCGGAGGATTTAGCTAAGCCTCCTAGATGGGGTCCGAGCAGATGGGATCGGAGGATCGCGCGGCATCGCCGATGCATCGACGACGCGGCTCGATAAGGAGCCCGTGTTTCCCCACGCCGAGGTCGCGGATGCGTCGCCGATGCATCGCTGATGCATCGCCGATACATGGGCGATGCATCGGCGATGCGGCGCGATCCTTCGACCCCATCTACTTGGATCCCATCTGGGAGGCCTCTAATTGAAGGGGCGCTGGGTTGGAGGCGTGGCGGGGAAAGTTGTTCCTCGGCGGCGAGCGAGGGGGGGAAGTGAGAAGGAGAAGGCCTTCTCAGAAGGCGGTGGGGCTTCTCAGAAGCCCTCCCCGTCTTCTGAGAGGTTTTCTTGTTCTTCGGGGAAGGATCCGAAATCTTCTCAGAAGACTTCCGAGCCTCCTGAGAAGGCCCGCCCCATTTCAGAAGTCCGCCGGCCTTCTCAGAAGGCCAGAGGACTTCCGAGCCTTTGAGGGGTGGGGAATGCCATGCAAGTGAACTTGGTGGGATCCAGATCTTAAGAAGGAAAACGCGCCTTTCGGGGTAGTCAGAGAGGCTTCGCGAAGGAGGTGGTTCTGGAAGTGGGCGGACACTGCACTGGAGACAACACGGTCGATATTGGGAAGGCCTTCCGGCGGGTGCCGCCGACCCTGAAGGGGGACGACGACGACGACGACGACGATGCTGATGGGTCAGAGTCCTCGGGGATGCTTCGTGGGGTCTCTTCGGAGCGCTCTCGTAGTCGTCGGGGGGCAGGTCTGGGACCTCTTGTGAGCCTCTTGGGGGTCTCTTGTGGCTTCCTGGGGGCCTCTTTGGGGCCTCTTGGGCCTCCTGGGAGCTTCTCGGGGCCGGGGGCTCGAACTGTTCGTTCGGGTCCCCCGTCTGGGCACCGTCTTGGAACTGTCTTGGTGGCCTCTTTGGCCGTTTTGGAGGCCTCCAGAGCCGTCTTGGGGCCCTCTTGGGTCGTTGTCGGGCCGTCTTAGCAACCTCTTGTGGGCCTTTTGGGGCGATCTTAGGGGCATCTTGGGCTGTCTTGCGATAGTTTCCGTGCGGGCTGATGCCCTGGCATTCACTTCTCGGGTGCTGCCAGGGGTGATCCTGGTCCAAGGTGTCCTACAGTAAACCCGCATAGTAAGGATGGGCGACCTTCCCAAGGGTACCCTTGCATCCTTGCCTCCTGGGTCCATCCTTGGCCACTTTCGTTGGCCGCGCCCCGCTCGAAAAGCGTCGAGATGGGCGTCCAAGGCCCTGGCGTCCTTACCTCGCACCCTTACTGTACGGGCTGACTATATTCCAAGGTCCACATGGTTGATGGATCGGAGAAGCAGCGGCATCAACGCACACTTTCGGGAGGGCCCGTGGATCTTGGACTCACGCTGGGCCCCCCGGCGGCGCATCCAGGGCCGATCCAAGGCAACCGCGTGGACCGCCGACGGTTGATGTGTACGGTAGGCTCGCGTCGTGTCGACCAGCGGCGACCCCGCCGCGGGCGTTCAAGGTTGAACGCCGCCAGTGGCCCAGAATCGGCCTGTATGGAACGATCGGGCCCTCGAAGAGCCACCGATCGTTCAAGGTGGAACGATCCCCGCGGTGTCAGAAACCAAGGCTGGGGTCGACACGACACGAACCTTCCGTATGCAGTTTTTCTTCTTCTAGCGGCAGCCCTCGCAGGGCCCAGAGTGCCCCATGTACGAAAGGTTTTGGGTACCCTGAACCACGACCATCTCTGGCAGCCTCCGACCTGCTTGCGCGAAGTCCTCCATCCAAGATCCGCCCAGAACGGGTCCCCGGACTCCTCCCGGGTCCATCCTGGCCAGCTTTTCGAGCTGCGTCTGGCCTCCCAAACGATGACGGCGACGACGACGACGACGACGTCGTGTTCGCTTTCTGACGCGCGTCCTCTCCGACCTCCTCAGTGGCAACGTTAGGGGGGGGAGAAGCCCAGCGGGGGGGGAGATGCTTCGTCCCCAAAATGTCCTATTCATCGCCGATAGGGGCCTGATAGCCCACCCAGCCGTGCGGCTTCGCAATCGGGAGCCTATCGCCGATCCATTGGCGATGTATCGCCGATTCCAGGTCGACGTTTCGCAACCTCGGCCGCCCCCACCCCCCTTAGCGCCATCCCTCGGAAACTGGATCATATACATTACCAGTGGCGGGCGGTTTCTCAATCCCCGGACTTTTTTGAGGGTCGGGGACGACGTCTGGATGGTGTGGTGTATACTGTTTCCCAGTTTTCCGGGGGAAACAAAAAAGAATGTATACACCAGGATCCCGTATACATCAGGATCCGCTTTCCTGTGCCAGATTCAGTGTGAGGCCAGACAAAGGCGTCGGTGTATAGAGTTCGGTTACCTAA